ATAAAGTTTGGTTGCCAGGCAAAAACACAGGACTGTGTAGCCAGACCTGTTACTGTATTGTTGCCACAGCAGCAGCAAAAAAGAAGCAGAGCTCCTGTGAAGACCATGTTCATCATCTTTTTCAAGTGGAAAGAATTTGTCCCCTCCCTGTGACATGCTGCCAGCTAACTCCAGGCTCTTTCTTCATCCCTGGGCCCCAGTAATGCTTTACAGCTCAAACCCCCTTAGACTAAGACATAAAAATCCATTTATTGCTAAAGTCAAAAAATATATTATTGTTTTTTGCTAAATAGCACTGGAATCAGAACAGAAACACAATGAAGTATATTTGATTGCTAAGATGATTGATCTCAAAGGAAGCTTCTCCAGTTTGGTATCTCATTGAGCTGTTTGTTAAGTAGGACAGCAAAGCAGTAGCCAGCCTAACCAATCACCCAAAATATTTCTCTCAATTTCAATTTTATGCTCTGTATTTTCAAGAAAATCCTCAAAGCGGTGCTCCGGCTTTTCAGTTATCCCGACTTCCGCTATTTTTTTTAATGATACTGTCTGGGTTTGTACATGTTGATGTTAATCTGTGAGTCTGCGTGTCACATTCTATTTAGAAAATAAATGGTTTTGCACATTCACAAATGTTCTGACCTCATGAGAACGAAATGAGCATTTTTAAAGGGTCCACACCCATAAACAGCTGGACGTAATGCTATTAATCAAACGTGCATTACACAACATTTATTGTCCAGGCAGAGAAGATAGTGAAATAAAGAAGATAGTCAGGGGAGATAAACATGGGTGGATTCTGATCTGACTTGGTAAATAGATCCTTTTATAGAACAATTTAACATTAGGTTTGACATTTGTGTGCATGTGTTGTTTTTTTTTCTGTTAGGATGTCATTTATAGGTTCGAGTTTCAGAAAAAAAAAATTGCGGATTTGCAGTGGCGTTTTTCTGCATTCACCACATAAAGCTGTCAAGCACATCACACAATCACTGTGAGAAACTGACACTTGTACTGTCTGTCTTTTTATGTATAAACTGCACTCAAACTCTTCTCTGTGCATATGCATAACTATATTGATAAATTTGAGGTAAAAGTATGTGATATCTCAGCAGATTTTTTTGTTTATATAACAAACAGAGAGCACTGCAAGAAAACATCTCTTCTTGCTTTTCTTCCTCTGTCCTTTCAAGGTTTTTTCAATGACACTGTTCAGTTCAGACCATTTTATAAACTTTATGTTGTATTGTGGAACTTGGAATTACAGTTCAAGGACACAGCATTGAAACTCAGTCATTCGAGCAGCTACAATCAGCTGAGGGAACAATCTGTACACTGAAACTATAAAATTAAATAGATAAACAGGCCTTGAAAGTAAACACAACCTGTGAAAACATATTGCCATCATTCAACTTGCAAACCTGCCTATCCCATCTGTCATCAAATGAGAGGTGGGGTACACTATATAAATGTCAGACTGTTACTGGGCCAAAAACAAGACAAATGGGACCAATGATTATACAAAACCACGAAAGAACAAGCAGACAATACAAACTTTATGTTCTGGTACAACAAATTTGCAGTGTATTGTGTACAGTTATTTTTGTTCTCCCACTCAAGAAGGAAAGAATCTTTGTATGATGACTAATGAGGGGTTTCAAAATAAAATAATAGACTATTACAGTAAATTAAAATGTTCTTTTTAAATGCCATTTTTCCCTGCAATTATGTTTTTGTCAGTTTTGATATTGTTTAGTCAGGCCTGCATTTCAGTTAATTCTACATTACTCCTCAGAAATGAACAAAACTCAAATATGGCAAGAGGAGATTATTGCTAAAATAACAAAGCTTCCAGCAAGTGCTGGAATAGTCCGCATCAATACTAGATTGTTAGTGCTTAATCAAGAAAAATGCCATAATTAATTGAACTCCTACTTTGCCATCTGTTTTATGCATTGACCAGTCTCTTCACTAAGTACACAAATTCCTTTGCTTGCTCAAATGCTGAATCAGTCCATTCCATCTTTAAAACAACCACAGCTGACACAATTTGTTGTACACATAAAAAAGAAAACTCCTTAAAGCAACGCTATTGTCCCAACAATTTAGGACAATAACAGTGTGGGAAATGTTGCCTGTTATGGTAAGTCTTCATTTCAGCTGAACATTCAGATATTGAAAAGAAAATTTGGCATAGCTCATGTGAAAATGTGGTCCATTTCGCCTTGCCTCAATGTTTCAGGCTGTGTTGTCGGTGAAATGATATGGAGGATATTTTTATTGACACGCTTTGAATCTGTCCTGTTCTGTAGAAACTGAAGGGACCAAAATATCTGTTGTTAGCCTGCGATTGACTTTGATAACCTTATCCTTATCATGTGCTGCGCAGTTCAGTGTGTTCTGGTTCCGTTAGCACTAAAACGGAACCAGAGGACGACCCGCACACCGAGTCATCAGTAGAGCAGGTGTTTAAATCAACCACTGCTGTATTCAGGTGAAAATATATTAATAATGACAATATAGACATCAGGCCTGACAACATAATGTAACAGATTGAATGTTCTATTTTGGGGTTTTTGCATACGTATTTGTGTGGGAAATATTTGTCTTTGGTATTGATGCCCCTGATAGGATTGAATGTTATCTCTGCTTTATCTGCTCATTGAGCTGTTGTCTGTCGGTTGCCGTGGTAACGGGTCCACGTGTAGGGTGATGCCAACACAGAGAGCAAAAAAAAAAAAGCAGAATATAAATGGTTTTGTCTAGTTTTGTTCCTCACCTGTTTATCAGCTTTATTGCACCTTTAATGCGGCACACTGTAGCCGCTGCAATTATTAAAGTTTAAACACGCAACAAAAACTGAACTAATTCCCTCTGTTCGTAAAACGTGGTGATATTTATAACAGTCATCAAACTACGGCTCCTGCAACATATTTAAAATAAAACACTTGACCAGTACAAGGGAAAATTGCCCTTTTTTGCGTCTTGACAGAACTGACAGAAACCAAACTGTTTATAGATTTGTATCACAGAGAATTTATTGATCAAACATCAGTTTTCTCTGCTTTATTTTAAATTGTATTTAATAGATATGACTGATAATAAATGATGGGGCTGCTAATATTTTTGTGACAGATTTCTATTCGTCCTGCATTGGAATAAAATGGTTTTCTGGACACAGTGCATCACATAGCGACTAATAGGCGATGTCCAATACAGCTCTCCAGTACATCTTGCTGAAAGCTTAGCTGAATGTGTATTCCATTTATACAAAAATCCTGGTCAGCATATGCCTATTGGAGACAAATTATTCAGAGAACATTAGCGAGTCTTTCAACAATTTAAAAACACCCATTGTCTTTAAAGAATGTAGCAATGAAAGACACTATGGAAATTACACCATATTCTAAAATTTAGTTAAACTGTCAAATAGCTTCACTTGCAGTTCTAAAGTGAAATTCAGGACAAGAGGTGAACAGTGACAGTAAAAAAAAAAAAAAGGAAGCTTGTCTCAAAGCTTCTCGGTTACATTATGAGAGTGTAATGGTATTAACTAATTCTGTTGAATGAGGATCTAATTCAGAACAAAATGCCTTTGATCTGTTATGTGGGAAATGCTAGAAGTAAGCCGCAGTACAACACAAAAAGTACAAATCAACTTGTTTGATTTTAGTAAGTACTATCAACAGTAGCAGAAGTAGTATTTTGATAAGCATTTAATTATTATTTATTATATTGGCAAGCCTTACCATTATGTACACATGTAACTGTAGTTTTGCTTAAACCTGCATAATTGCATGATCCTATCCTTTTATCTGAAATAGCCATAAAACTCTGCAAAGCTCTGTCACTTGGTCTGGATTCAAGGTACACTCTTCAACTCTCTAAATGTTAATGGGACACCTGCTCAACTCTGCATAGTTTCCATGACAACAAGGTACTTGACAGCTGCAATGCACAACAGGATGCTGAAGTTTAACAGAAGTGATCTTGAGCTGTCAGTGGCAGACAGGCAGACAGTTTGACAGGCGGACAGGGAGATATGAGTGATACAAGAACAGGAAAAAAAAGCATTTGTGAAAAAAATTTTAAAAAAGGACTGAGATAAAGGTAAGAGAAAGACAGCAGATAGAAAGAATCATGATGATATCAGTTCAAATAAGCGCAACAGAGAGGCTCAGTAACAGGGAGAAACAAAGACAAATGAGAACACACAAGACAAGGTTTCTTTGATGTAGTAGAAGCATGAACAATCAAACAGACATAAGCAAAGTAAAATAAGGGAAAAGAAAGAGAGATCTACAGATATAGAGTGGGCAGTGACTGATACTATTTGTAGGCATAATTTCAAGGGCAACAAAAGGGCAGTCAGGCAAAGGGGAACAAAATCCTTGTCCGTTTGTCTCCTCAAATGGCCTCTAGGGAAGCTCTGAAATGGGCCTTTTCTTCTTGGTCCTTTTCAGCTCTAAGCCCCATCTACATGACAAACAGTGTCACTTTGAAGCTGCTTGTGTCATCTATGCCTATCTGTCACTCATTCTTGACCTTTTGCTCTTCCCTCTCATCTCTTTCCTTTTTTTTTCTACAGTAATTCCACTTTTTTGTCAGGGTTTCCTTTTCCCTCAAAATCCTTTTCATTTATGTTTGATTTTGGTCTGTTCAGAAAACAAGTCTGTCATTCAAGTGAAAATGACAAAGATAATTCAGTAGATCGGCATTTCTCTGTGTAACATGGATCTAAAAAGTATTTAAAACAAGGATAAATGGATTCCATAATTGTTTACTGCTAATACTATTTGTAATGATAGGTAACTCTTGATGCTGAAAAGAGTCGTATTTATTCAGCAGCATAAAGCTCAAATAGTAAAAGTATCTGTATTCTTCAGTGACACCCCTACGTCAATCCTTGTATTACCAGGATGAAACACATATGCTTACTTTTGAGGAAAAAGACAATCGCCATTGTCAGATGTCCGAGTGGTAAGACAACAGTCTCCTACCTGGTTGAAGTGCTCCAGCCTTTTCTTGAATTCAGCAATAGTAGGATCCATGGTGCGAACTTTGACCTCTGGGTTTTGCCTCTGGGCATGCAGACCATTTTTGACGATTCTATCGAGATAGCTGGGGGAAGAAATATAAAATCAGCAAGATTATTATTACTTACTTACTTACTTTAAAAATCAATCAGTGTCTTATTTATGAATGGATCAGTTAAAGGAATGCAAGTTGTTAAAAAGAGAAAAACTGCACAGGCTTTGGAAATTACTCCCCTTACTCTACACTCCAGAATGGATTAGTGTTTTGGATGTGTTTCCAGCAATATGCTCTATGAATCCAGTACAGAAATAAGGCAAGCAGTGGGAACGAAACGACAGCAAATTCATAAAGCAAACACATTGCTTTATGAACGACCTTCCCTGTATGTTAAGTCCCTGTATGTAACGTTGTCTGAATTATTTAGAGATTTATATAATAATATAAATTATTTGTGAACTTAAAAGACATTAAGGGATTGACAGGTACTGACACTGAATCAATTGATGCTTCCAGCAGCAGTGCTTCGGTGATAAAGCGATTATTGATGGCTATAGTTGGTGTGTTTATACAGACATGTTTATAGGTATGACATGAGTTTGTGGTTGTGCTTACTCACACATCTATGTATTCATGCAAATTTGAGTGGAGGAAATCATAAAAGTGCTGAACCTGAGAATTTGTGGCTTGTGATCTGAGCAATGTGTTGATGAGGTCTGCGCTCTATCAACTTGCTGAAATGGCACTTTACTGATCGGGCCAATAAAAATCACCCCTCTTAACCCTGTCAAGCTGCACATTAACTTTACATCCCATTGTTCCTTTTTATTATTTATTCCTGAATGAACTGCTTGATTTACTTTAGTGGATTTGGAAAGCTGAATTCCAAGTCTCCCAAGGCATGCACACACACAGATAACCGTATCTCTGTTTTGACAACAGCTAAAGCTCTTATTGCTGCCAACTGCAAGCCTTTTCAGGATGGAAACAATCAATAGTCTTCCAGCATCACTCCACAAAATAAAATAATAAAATGTAAAATCAAACATCTGTGGGTTTGGGAGTGTATGCATGTCTGTCTCTTGGCTTGGCTCACGATGACAGTACTGAAAATTATCACATCAGACTGGATATTAGAGAGAGAAAAAGATGTTTCATGGTGAGTCTGGCACAGTGTTAGGCTAACCACATTTCATTGGAGTAATACTTGATAGCACATAAGGGACATGACAAATGATGCAGCAGGATATCCCGGAATAATTACTTCATAGGAAATTTAGTGTGCTAAACAGTATAATCCAGCGGTTTATGGCACAGATCAGTCTTCAGCAACAGCAATTAAATGCTTAAATTTTTACACACTCTGCCTTACTTTAACAAAACAACATTCTGCTCATTTCTCTCCTCAAGTCAAATGTTAAGTGTCAGCAGACATTGCAAATGATTACCTACACATGTATTACATTTGACTCATGACTCTCTGGCTCCTTTTGGTGAAAATGTAACAGTCATTGCTGAATGCCCCATTAACACACACTCTTAAAGGCTGCTTTGTCTGGATCTTCACTCTGCTTAGAGCACACAGTAGCAGTGACCTCCGCTCCCTGTTTTCAACTTCAAACTGAACTCTCTTGATCTCTTAAAGGCCTGCAGGAATGCTTTTTGTGTTTGAAGCAGAAATCAAAATCAAATATACATCTTCAAAGTGCAGTGGGGAGACAGCAAAGTAAACTTGCGCCTCATTATCCTGATTCTGAATATTTTCATGTGTACTTTTCATAGAGTTATGCCTTTGGTTAAAAAAAAAAAAGTGGGTGTATTTAAACGTGGTTTATAGAGATTGTGAGTTGTATCAATGATGTCATTCAACTTCATCCATCCTAAAACCAGATTGGATCTGTGTTTGTTATTGTTTTCCTGTTGGAACATGCTTTTATGTTGGTTAGGTTGTTGAGGAACACCACATGAATAGACAGTCCCATTGTAAACTTCGCAAATTCAGCCAAAGTTCGCACCCCTAATCTGGAGAAACTGAACATCGCTGACGAGATGGCACATATCGTCAGATAAACCATAGCTCATCAAGCTGGGCTAGCTATGTTCAGTGCCGTGTAAGGGTAAGTCTACTTGTCAGTACCACCTTTCGAAAACCGGATGTATCGTTAGCTGAGTCAGCAGCCAGTGACGTAAGATCGGCTTGTGCATGTTCATTGTCACAAGATAAGACAGTTTGTTAGATAGTACAGATAGTCGGAATATCTGTGTTCATCATCGTTAAAGCCCTGCGGTCATAGAGATTTTGTAGAAAAGTAATAAGAAATCATGGTCCATCATTATCAGTGGGGGACCCTACATGCCCCCAGAGCCTGTAGGGGGAGGAATACAATTTATTACATTTCCAAAACCCAAATGGAGTCTGGAGTAATGCATGAAATGGATCAATGCCTGCAGCTGACCTCATGTCCAGTTGAATGAAACTGTGATGGAAGGCAACTACCACATGTTCTTCTGCACAAAGGTAACTGGTAGTAAACATCACATTTTTTGTCATAACAACACTGATTGATAGTCAATCAAAGGTCTGTAAGTGAAGCTAGTTATGTGTGATTTTATGTGTGTAATTTTCATTGGTAGAATGAAAGCATCTGCTGCAGAAACTGCTATTTACATGTTAGAAGCTTTTCATGCTGCTGTTTATTTAAAGCATTTTCCTGACCGCACATTTTCACAAGCCGGTGCTATTTAAGTTATTACTCACCAGCTTGTGAAAAAATGCGTCCGGCACAGCTTTCATATTGGCATCAAACAAGACTTTGTGCCACTCATCATTCTTCCTCCTGCTGCTTTTAGGTAGATTTCTCAGTTGTTTCCATGTAAATGACTTTACAGACTTGATGTCTTTGCCTCAGTGTTAGTTGATAAAGCAGAAATGACTCAAATGTATCTGGTAACACATTACAACACTGTTTGTTGGAGGTTTCCTCTAATTCCGCTTGGGGTGGAGCCAGCATCATGTCAATGAATCATGTTATGTTTGCATATATGGTAAAATTATGTCATTCAATTTGGTAATAAATTCAGGTATTAAAACATAGAAAAAAGTAATAATGATAATTATTATTATTGTTATTATTAATAGAATTGTTATAATCACAACATAATTTTGTGTATAGTGCTTAATAAAGAACAACCTGTATTTAGTAAGTGTTGCCATCTGCATCATTAAAACCATGGAACACTGGAAAAGCTGCAATACCGCTATTTCTCCGTGCCCTTTTAAGAGGAAAGCCTGAAGTCACAAGTGAGTCCAGCAGGGAAAGCAAGGGAGGGGTCTATTGGATGTCTGTAGCCAGCTAACTTTACGAGCTGGGCTTGGACATGTTGAAATAGTCTGAACGAGAGGTTTTGTTCTGAAAGGCCAGACTGTTCTCACACACTGTGAGCCTAGGAGTCTTTTGCTGTAGTACAAACACTAAAGGAACTGGTGAAAGCCACTTTACAAACATTTAATCAATGTAACCTATGAGAACATGCTGCCAATTACAGTGAATATAAATATGTCTGAACATATACAAACACTCTGCCAGAGTACTGTGCCCCATAAACACGTACACATGACACTGAGACCTTCCATAACCTCTAGAATTGTAGATTTGCTCTCATGAAAAATAAATATTTCAAACATCAAGCTAAAAAGAAAAAAAAAGAAAGGAAAGAGAACATTTTGGTTGCTCTTATTGAAGCTGTCTGAACTCCTGGCAGTAAGCAATACAGCATGCTATACTTCAAAGGCACCAATATTAAAGAGGAAATACTTGGATCACAAAATGTGCAAGAAGAAACTTCAAGCAAAAATGAAGGGGTCATCTGCAGGGCAGTTAAGCTTAAGCAGTCTCCTTTTTATTCACTGCTCTTTTTCTCTCACCCATTCTGCACTCCACTCCTTTTATTTTAGCTCCAAGATGATCTCTCCAAGTCAATCCTTTGGTTCGAAGTTCAAAGGACCATTTTTTTTTTTCTTTACTGACTTTATCACCTCTTTTGAAGCTGTCGTTGTCCTTGGCATGCTCTGTGTAAGGTGAAAGGTTACAGGCCATATGCCATCAATTTAATTCTTTAATTTTTGTATTCCCAACAACTTCTGATTTCATCAGGTTTGAAAGTCTTCTTCTAAGATTCACCCCTATGTTGTAAAAAAGAAAATTATCTTGATAAATGTTTTGTCTTCACTTCCAGCTGACTGGTATCAACAAAACCTCTGCTTTGCTGAACTTCAGGGAACCTAAAGTTAATCTAATGAATAGGTAAGTTAAGGCTGACATGTGATGCTGTGGTCTTAGCTGGAAGTCCAGAGAGCCTCCTGTCATGTGTTTCATGATGTGATTGCTCAGATGTGTGGGAAGAGTCCAGCAGAGATAGAAATATGAAGATCAGTACAGGAAAAGAAAACATCTTGGCAACAACAAATGTCATCGGAAAAGATAGCTGCAGAATTAAGCGATATAATATTTTCTGTTGAGAGGTTGCTTGGAATTTGTTTTGATGATTTCATTCTGACTAACCCCTTCTTGTGATGGGGAGTGTCTGCATGACTAATCAGGCTCTGGTGAGAAACTCAAAACTCAGAAATCTTGTCATTTGTAATAATTCAACCATTGCTCAGCCAACACTATTTCTTTTAAGGAAATCTAGAATTCCAAGCATTTCAAGTGGCTTCAAAACTTTTTGATTTTTAACTCCCTGGATCAACATTGCTTTGACAGATGTCTGTTTTTTTGGTCTTTTGCAATATCTCTATATACAAGTGTGTAAATATAAAGGAGGATCAGATAAAACATAACCATCAAAGCTATATAAGATTAGCTACACTGTGTTTATATTGAATCTATTAAGATTATTTTTCACAAATCATTTAATGTTGGTTGTTGAGCAATTGAAAGGCTTTTTCTTTTTTTTTACTCTCAACTCCAGGTTGCATCATTTTAGTTGAGAACAAGCATATTTGTCCATAATTACATTAGCAGACCTATAATGTTAACTTCCTGAACTATACCTGAGGCAAATCGTGTGTGTGGAGCTGGTGCCGT